GAACATTTCAAGATGATGTCAAGTCTGCATTGAATAAATCACGTAAACTGATTAAATTTTTAAATTGTCAAGCGTTCGTATCTCCATTTTGCAAAAACATGTTTTTAAACAAGAAAACAAAAAACTTGACATTAAAACTCGGTTGAACTTTTTGGTTCCCATGATTGAAAGGTTGGTAAAATTGAAACCATGCATTCAAAAAGCAGTTTTTGACATATGAACAAATAGTTTTTATGAGGAAGTTGATTTTTAACTTTTAGAAGATATTTTAAAAGTGTTAAAACCTTTTGAATTGGCTGTTAAGGAGTTAAGTAGTAATAAATTAGTAAATAAGTAAGAATAATTCATCTATTCTAATCAGTGAAGGTGTTCACATGTTTTTGTTCAAAAATCTTTCTGAACAAACGTCTAATTCAAGTGTAGTTATGCTATATTCCCTCAAAAAGCAATGAGCGACGCAACAAAGATTTAGTGTCATGAGATATTTGCAAAACCCCAAACTCAAATACATTACAAAATAACGATGGCTTCAAATATTCATCAAGTCAGCAATTATTTAATATGCAAAAAATATAGTTGAACAAAACTTTATCAAAGTATTAGATAGTGTCAATGTCGAATCATTGCATGAAGACGTTGCTGAAGAAATAATAATAACCTTAATAACCTTAAGACACAGTTACAACAATCCCTAACAAAGATGGTTTCTTTCCAAACCAAGATTAGTTGTTCTGATCCATTTTCAGAGATATTAAGAGAGTTTAAGTTGTTTGAAGCAAGTGGAGTTCGAATTTAAATAACGTTGCTGCTCTCAAAACAATTCAGCCCACGTCAACATCTAGCGAAAGAACTTTTTCTGTTGCTGGTAAATTTTTAACTAAGCTTCAAAGCCTAATGAATTTTGATATATTAAATGCATTAATATTTTTAAAATACTATTTTTTGGAACTTTCAATTATTGAGTTATTACTGCTTCATAAAATATTTTTAATATTTTAAATATTACATTTAATTTTCAGATATTAAAAAGTAAAATAAAATAGACAAAGAAAAATGTTTAAATTTTCTTTTTCTATTTTATTTTTTCTCTTCATAAAGTTTTCTAAGTATAAGGCTTAATTTTTTTAATGTTTTTTATAAATACCGGTTTATGCCGGTATTGAACGATTTTAAATACCGAAAACCGGTATTGTAATTTTCCGGTATTTTGGAAACTCTACTTGAAAACAAACAATTTATTTTTTCTACAATATTGTGTTGTTGTATATAAAATATTATAAAGAAACAATAATTCTTTATAGACTTATAATAGCTGTCATAGTAGAATATCTTATGTCACGGCGATCTTTCATTTGACTTACTAAGTAAATTTTTTGATATAGTCTGTGTTTTATCATTCGGTCTTATTTTTACAAAATTTTTCATTCCGTAATTTCAACTTGTTTTCAAAGTAAACACAACTTTTGAGAAAAGATGACTAACGAAAATGATATCAAAATTTTTCCGTCGCATGATCAATTGCGATCAATGTTTAAGGGTGCTTGTATAAGCTTGAAAAAAACTGTCAATCGTAAGTTAAAAGATGCGAGTATATTAAGATCAAGTTCTATGAATCCTCACCACAGGCAAATATTTATAACAAATGTTCAAAAGCTCGTTTTTGCTGGGGTTTATGGAAATCTTATTACAGCAGCAGAAAATAAAAAAGTACTGGACTTACAAAACTCCACACCACTATTTGAAATTTTAAGTATTGAACGTGCAGCGGCTATATTTGGATCACAATCTTTGTTACGGTGTCATGACGGTAATAATACAACCATTATTACTCCATGGTATATTATAAATCAAATAACAAATGCACTTACAATAGAAGATAAAAAAAAAGTTTCTTTAAATAAAGGTCAACTAATTATCCCGTTATTTGTTAAGACTGACTTTGTTCGTGTTTTTGTACCATGTGGTGGCCCTGATCCAGAAACTGACAGTGTACCAGATTATGTAAGAGACATTTATCTTGACCAAATCATGGATGTTGATGTCACTTCTATAAAGTTTGTTCGTGCGTTAGAAAAACTCTCTCTTTTAAGAAATACAGACTGGAGTGTTATTCGTAAAGGTCAAGTGGAAAAAAAAGATATAATCTGTTCGCGTGGCATTTTTTACAAAGTAAAATCATTAGAGGATGATTTTGATAGTCCTTTAACTCATAACATGGTTAAGTTTACAATTAATGCAACAAGAAATGTGAATAACCAACCTTTTAGCATTGCAAAAATTCCTAAGTTGCAAGGATGTATTTGTGAAATTCCGCTAAAGTTTGTTAGTAAATACAGACCTGTGTCTATTGTTTTGGAAAAAATAGATTCAGAAGATATTGGAACTGTAACAATAAAATTCCAAAATGGTTGCTTCAATAGCTTAGGGTTTATGATTCATGATACTGCAATTTTTTTAGACACACAATAGTTATAGACTTTTATATATGATGTTATATATATATATATATATATATATATATATATATATATATATATATATATATATATATATATATATTATGTAGTGTATTCTACAATTAGAGTGCTCAATGTTCTTAAAGAACAAAACAAAAATATATAAGTAAAAACATTTATCTTGTTTTGTCTTTGACAGCCTGTGAAACAGCTTGTCAAAGACAAAGCTAAATAAGTGTTTTTACTAATTTAAATAATATATATATATATATATATATATATATATATATATATATATATATATATATATATATATATATATATATGTATATATATATATATATATATATATATAAATTAGTAGAAAATCACTTAACAATCTTTTTTCATTTAACACTGTATTTCATAATTTAAGGCTCATCAGAAAACTAAGATTCATCAGAGATTTCTGATGAGTCTTAGTTGCTGAAACACAGTGTTAAATAAAAAAAAAATTGTCAAGTGATTTTCTACTAATTTATTACATACATACATATATATATACATACATATATTAATTGTAAACGCACAATTATATATATATATATATATATATATATATATATATATATATATATAGCAATGTAAAGTCGGTTGTAAATTGCTGACCTTATTTTTCCTGAATCCGAAGGATTCAAATATATAAATACATTTATAGACACCTTATAAACTTAGATACAGACAGAGCATGAAAAAAAGTAATAATGACCTTTAAAATCATTTGTCCTATTGTCAAACCTTTTTTTTTTTTATCATTTTTAGTCAGTCAATTTATATTAATTATGTTGCAGCTATAGGCCAACCTATGTTAGGCACTGAGAGAGGGGAGATGAAAAAGTCAGTTTGTACCAGGTGGCAGTTGTCCTAGAAGCGAAAAGGAAAATTAGGTCATTCATTGATAGTGTAGGAGAATTTTGTAAAAAATAGGAGCTCCAATCAGGGTTGCTGTCCAAGGCGGCATAAAAGGTCTTGGCACCCCTGCTATATATGTAGTTGATAATATATGAAAATAAAAAAAAAATGAAAAAATAAGAGTTATACTTTCTCTTTTCATAAACTTTTCTCAAGTTAATTGTAAACGCACTTAAATTAAGTGCGTTTAAAATTATTTGCAATAATTGAATCACTGAATAGTTTTCAACTCCTTGGCACTTAACCATTTTTTGATTCAAACAACCCGTTTGAACCTTAACACACCCTTGTTTGTCAATTATCTTAATCTTCTCATGTTTTTAATTAAAATCCCATAAAAAGTTAAAAATTGATTTAAAATATTATAAAAAAAAAAGTCTTTTTGTTAATACCTCATGGAAAAATTTTTAAGATTTTGGGGTCCTAGTGGCTGGGTTCTTTTTTTATTTTTTAGGGGGGGGGGAGGGCTTTTGACCCACTAGTACTCTATCTATCTATATATATATATATATATATATATATATATATATATATATATATATATATATATATATATATATATATATATATATATATATATATATATATATATATATATATATAACTCGAAGCATGTTTTATGGTAAGTTGAGCGCGGTAGCAGGAGCTTGTGTTGTTTGTGTAAATCGAACTCTTGTATGTAAAGGATTTATTAGTTAGTCCTGGTTAATTAATTAACTAGGGGATGACTTAAGCAGATGATTTTATAGTAAGTTGATAGAGAAAGTTCAAGGGGAATTGAAAACCCGCATGACTTTTAAGTCAGACGGATTTTCAATTCTCCTTGAACTTCATCAACTTACTATAAAATCATCCGCTTCAGTCATCATGGTCCGACTAACTCGTACTATTTATTTTGATCCCTTCGGGAAAAATATCGCCTAAATAGAACTTTTGTTTTGAATTGCGTATACGTGCGTGAATATGCAATTCAAAATAAAAGTTATATACAACAAAATAATAAAAAACTTTCCATAGTTCAATATGTTGAACACCATTGGAAGTTTTTTTTATTTATATATACGAATTCCAAACTTTGAACGTTCGAAATTTAAATACCTTTGCTTCAAACATGATATAACAAACTAATCATTTTCCCTGATATCTTCGATTCGGTTAAGTCTTTAATTAAATTTAATTTATTTTGTTGCAACAACAAACAACAAAGTTGCGTCACACAAATTTTTGCCTTGACCCGGACACTTTTTAGTATCCTCGGAATAGTTTAAAAAAAAACATTGCTTTAAATCATTAACTTAAAAATTTGCTATAAATTTTTAAGTTAATGATTTAAAGCAATGTTTGATAGGTACGTACAAACTTAAAAGTTTGTACGTACCTATCAAAATGTGTTTGTAGTCTTTTTCTTTCTTATTTTCTTTATTATAATGTAAAATTTTTCGACAAAATATTGTTTAGCTGTACATTAATTAGATTTTGAGTAATTTTGCTAAAAGTACTATATTGTGGCCACGTGGTCACTAAATCCCATGTAAAGTTCGGATACAATCAGATTTATTTACAATTCTATGTAACTCATAAGAACTATTTTTCTCTATAAATCATGTTTCTTAATAACAACAAAAATAACAACTATAATTATATAAAAAACTAATGACCGCATAGTCTGAATCGATTTCGATTACACCATGTAAAAAATAAAAACACCATATAAAAAATACAAAAATACTACACCATATAAAAAATACAAAGAAAATTTAAGAAACTAACTTAACGTGTTTAATTCTTAAAAACAATTACTTTTTTCACTTCATAAGAGTGAAAATGCAAAACCTCAACATCAGAATTCTGCTCTTATATAATATTTTTTATTAAACTTCTTCGTCTGATTCGTCAAATTGTATTTGTGGGTGACTAGGGTGTAGTGGACAGCTTTTGTTTTTTTTATTGTGGCCAGGTATTTTGCACGCAGAACAAACTACCTCTTTTGTTTTTGTCATTACAGAATCCGTTAATATGAATTGTTGTAAACGCATTAACCTAATTATGGTTTCGAACCTTGTGGTGTCTAAATTCGTCTCGTTTAATTCTGAAAACTTGATTCTTTTATTTAAATGTTCACTTGCGTTACAGTTAAACATTCCATAACCCCATCCAAATCTAGCGTAGAATACCATAAGCTTTCCAACATGACATCTTAAGTAATGCAAATACGGCATTCCATCAGTACAATCAGATCCAGCATAAGTAATAAATTTTTGAAAATATTCTTCACACCTTTCATTAAAAGTTCCAGTCAACTCAGGAGTTGTTGATCTAACATCACTAAAAATAGCAAATAATTTGAATATGAGGGGTTGTTCATAAACGATGTCACGCTAAATTTAATCTTTGAACTGAATTAGGAGATTATTTGTTCTCTTGCACTGAGACTTTATTGAATTTATACTATAATACTTTAAAAACCTCTCTGCAAGACAGCCAAAGATCTCTTACTTTTATTTAAAAGATAAATTTAGTGTGACGTTGTTTATGGATGAGCCTTGAAACCCTTTAAAAATCCTTTAGAAATGACTAAATATAATTCTATATTAAATGAAGGAACCCTCATACTGTTATATATATTTTTGTAGCTCTCAACAAGCTCTAAGTTTACCATCAAAGATCTACTACACAAGATAGATTTTTTTTTTTTGGTAAGTAAAACTAAAATGACTGTGGAAAAAAGTATCCGGACAGTTACTTTTTGCTCATTTTTGGTCAAGATCCTCAATAAAGTTCATAATGTTAGATCTTACAAGTATCCTAGTAGCTTTGGATAATATAAGTATTAATCATAAAAATCACATTTTTTATTTCTGAAACATTTAGAATCCATTGACGACCGTTACCAAGGTAAAAAGAAAAGAACTGACAGAAGTTGCTAGGAAAGAGATTGAAGTGCTCTCACAAGAAAGTAAAACGGGTCCAGAAATAGCACGACAGAGAGAATTAAAAAACATGGAGTACTCAAAAGTTTGCCAAGATCTGGATGAAAATGAAAAACAACTCCAAAGATTGATTGGAAAATCTCCACTTTGGTTGAAAATTGTGTGAGACCAAATGCAAAAGATATTGCAAAACAACTCAGAGAAGTCGAGTTAGTCAATATAAGTCCTTGAACTGTTAAAAACAGGCCGCATGAGTATGATTTATATGGTAGAGCACTTGCCAAACAATATATTGCAAAGAGGCTTACGTTTGCAAAGAAGTATCAAAACTGGAATATTGGGGCATATTCATGTTAGAGAAGATACATAGACTTCCCCTAAGTATATTAGAATACTTACAAACCATATGCTACCATCAACTCGAGATTTTTTTGATGGAGAATTCATTTTCCAGCAAGATAGTGATTCAAAACATACGGCAAAAAATATTGATATTAAATATTGGTTCCAAAATTATTGAGGTGTTAGATTGACCAGGACAAAGTTCAGACCTGAATCCAATAGAAAACCTATGGAAAGTAGTCAAGGAAGAAATTGGTAAGCTTATATTGACAAAAAAAGACGATATCCAGGAAGCACTCAGAAAATGCTGGAATTCAATAGATATAGCGAGGTGTAACAGCCTGGTAGAGTCGATGCCTTAGAGAATTGAAAAAGTATTAATAAAGGAGGTTGGACAAAATATTGAAGAAATAATTGACAAAAAAAAACTTTTGTCCGGATTTTTCCAGTCTTTTTAGTTTTTCTTACCAAAAGAGACATCTACCTAATGTAGTAAACATTTGATGGTACACTTAGATAGAGCTTGTCGAAAGCTACAAAAATATATATAACAGTATGGGGTTTCCTTAATTTAATATAGAATTATATCTAAAAATAAATTCTCTGAATTTTTTCTGCAACAGTATGATATTTTGATTTATTATTTTTATTAAATAAAGTACTGACAATATGTAACATTAAATAAAGAAATACTTTGCAAGACTGGCAAACCTTCTGTAGAGGTCAAGTATTTGTCGCAATTTTAAGGCACTTTGATCTTGCCAATTTTCTCCATCTGCTAGAAAACTATGTAAAAAAGTATCAATGTTTGATTCCAACAACATACAATCATTCCCAATGATTTTTAAAGTTTCAGAACCATCATAGTTTTTCTTTTTGCTATAAAATAAATAAAATAAAAATTAATTTAAAATCTTACAAACAAGATTAAAGAAATTATCATTTTTTAATAACCTGCATTATTTTATACACAAAAATTGCAGCAATAACAGATATAAATTGGGAAAATTTAATGAAAGAAATGAATTTTAAAACAGACAAGCTTTTTTAAAACTAAGCGAATAAAATCATTTTTAAAGTGGAGCAGCAACTGTAAAAAAAAAAAAAGAGATTTGATGGCATAACATAATAAAAAATTATATTTGTATACATTTTTTTGTGAGTTTGTAAGTATGAATTACAGACAAACCTGAAACCGATATATTAATTCATAAGTTTTTTAGCTGCCCTTTAGTTTTTTTGAGTTTGTAAGTATGAATTACAGACAAACCTGAAACCGATATATTAATTCATAAGTTTTTTAGCTGCCCTTTAGTTTTTTTTTATGACTTAAGTTTGGATAAAACAACCTTGTCATTTGTAGAATACAATTACCTTTTAAAATATTGCTCAATTTGATAAGCCAAATAAGTACAACCAATATTTCGAAATGCCATGTCTATTCTGCTATCCATATTCCTTTTATTAATAACGTTGTACATAAACTTGTACATATATCTATGATGTGCTAATATAAGGTGTAAACCACATGGCGGCATTAAGTCAACAACAAAACCCTTGAACAACATTGTTGTCTAAAGCAGTATTTTAAAAATATTTATGCATTTAATAATTGTCAAAAACTTGCGTTGAACATTTTATTTAAAGTAAAAAAAAGACGTATTATTTTATATTTAAAAACGTAAAAGTAAAAAAAAGACATGTTATTTTATATTTAAAAACAAAAGAAAAAAAATAGGTTTATATTTATTTCAAACTATGTTAATTAATAATTTTTACCCATTGGCCATGATTTTCAAACTGAGTTTTTTTAAACAATACAGAATCGTGGTCAGGATTTGCACCGAGGATAGACTCAACTTTTTCACCTAATTCTGCCATTACAGCAATACTACGCTTTTCTCCTGATTGCTTTATTTTTGAAGACCATTCGTCTTTCTTTAATAGACAATGGTAGCATCCATAAGTTGATGTACATGCACATAAACCAATTATGTTTTTCAAGAAACCTAAATCTGCCACAAAAAAACAAAGCACATTGAAGTGTTCAACTGTATTAGTATCCGTAGTTACTAAATTAATACCATTCAAGACTAGGTCAGTAAGATCTTCGTAATGACACTTAACATGGATTTCAAGCATAACTTTTGATTCACTACCCCTCCATAGTGTGGTTATAAACTGTCCATAAGGAGAATTAATCATTTTTTTTAGATTTAGGAGTGAAAACGATGTCTGTTCTGTCGGAAATCTAGATGCAGCCCGGAAATTATCACCAGTGTTTTTTATGAAAAGAGTACGTTTTGTTGAATCAAGAGAATTATACAATTTTGGATTTACTTGTTTTAAATATGTAAATAAATCTTCTTGTTTTTCAGTATCAAGAAATTCCATTTCATTCAGTAACTTTTTACACGAAATAATATATTGTAGCGTTTCTGTAAGATTGGTTCTAGCTCCCATACATTTACAAACATTTTCATTGTCCTTGTGAATTTTTGTTATTTCACCTACTTCTGTAGCCAAACAGTATTCTCGAACATTTTTGTAAGTTGGTAAGTCTATTAAATTCTTTGACATTATGGCACTTAGACTTTTATAACCACGTTGCGATAAGTGACATTGACCAAGTAAAAGTTCGGCTGTTTGGGAGCAACTTAGTTCAATATGTTTGGGAGTTTTAGCGACAGTCTCAGTGATAATAGAAGGATGTTTTTTGTACAAATGCTCAATATAACCTAAAAGTGCCATGTTTATATATATATATATATATATATATATATATATATATATATATATATATATATATATAAAATATATTTATATATATATATATATATATATATGTGTGTGTGTGTATGTATATATATATATATATATATACATATATATATATATAAATATATTTTATATATATATATATATATATATATATATATATATAAATATATATATATATATATATATATATATATATATATATATATAAATATATTATATATATATATATATATATATATATATATATATATATATATATATATATATATATATATATATATATATATATAATATATTTATATATATATACATATATTATATATATATATTAAGACAATAAAAGATAATAAGTTTATCAAAACGAAATAAAAAAAGTCAAAATTTATGAAATTTAAAGTCTTACTTTTTACATCACCAAATGATATATACTCAACCAGTTCATGTATAGCTTCATTGCGTGCATTAATTGATTTAGAGTTTACTAAACTACTAGTTTCTCCAGCATTTCGAGTTCGAATAGTTAAAGCATTTTTTAGTGGAATATGGTCTTTAAACTCCTCTTTTTTAAACTTCTTGGCTGTACACTTTTTATGTTTTGAAGATGATTTCTGGACATTAATTTGATTAGTAGATATTATTTTTAAAACTTCTGGCTTCATAAAACCAAAAAAATCGTAACCAGACCACTTTTTATTGGTCTCAATTCCTAAGAAGTTCAACATTTGCTTGACACAAACAGTTGCTTTTTCGTTTGAAAAGCTTGCTAATGGTAATTCTATTGTAAATACTTTGAATATTGGCATTTCATTTTCACATTCTACTTTACTGTGAATTTCTATCTCATTGCCATTGTCAGTTTTCGCAATTCTTATTGATTCATAGTCGCAATGCAGATTGAATGATCCACTACCAAGTTTGCATTGAAATGTAATGTTGTCAACAGCTCTGCCATAATTAACAACCCCAAGCCATCTTAGTTTTCTAGATGAACAACTATTATTGACTACCTCATAAGTATTGGTTACTTCTTGGTTAGTATTACCATTACTAGTATTACCATTCATCAAATTAACTACTTCCTCTCTGTCAAACCCAAAGAAAGTATTGCCACTTTTTATTGAAATATTCACATTAGCTATTTTTAATATCTTTTTTGCTGCAGTTGTTGGATTCAAAGAGGAAGATATTCCGATCTTATTTTCACCATTTTTTAAAATACATTCAAACATTGGCTTACCCATTCCAGACTCTAAAACATTGCAAAAACAATCAAATTGATTACTTTCAGTTATAATTTTCCGACGTGCACTATAACCTTTATTGCATTTAAAAGATCCTGAGTAAAATTCTTCACCAGCTACACCAATATTCACTAAACCATCCCATAATAACCTTTTCATCTAAACAATAAGTACTAATATACAGATATACTAGTTTAATATATATATATATAAATATATATATATAATATTAAATATATATAAATATATATATATATATATATATATATATATATATATATATATATATATATATATATATATATATATATATATATATATATATATATATATATAATAGTAACTATTAGTAATAGTAATAGTATTACTAATTATTTGTTCACTCAGCAAAAAATCACTTTTAAAATTTCAAATTTTAACATGAAATTCAGCAATTTAAAACTTGTTGAGTGTATGCCTAAAATTATTTTATAAGATATTTGTAAGACTATTTATAAGATTTTTAAAGAGCTATACATTCAATTTTCGGTATCACAAGAAAATCTTCAGATGAATCAACTAAACCATAAAATATAAAATTGTTTTTAACACCGCGCTTAAACAATTTGAAATTTGAAACAATTTGAAACAATTTTGCAGAACCGAAAACTTTTGAAGCTTTCGACTTTTTTAATGAAAAGAGACTATATTTTTAAATAGTAAATTCTTCATTAAAAAACAAAAAAAACTTTTATCTTTCTACTTGAATTAATCGAAAAGGTCTTAATTTTCCTAATTTTCAAAAAAAAATTTGAAATTTCATTGAAAATTTGTGTGTATTTTCAAATGCTCCTCATCGTCGATATATGCTCCTGAACGTCGATAATCTTAAAAGTGATTTTTTTTTTGCAGGGTTTGGTTAAATAATAGATTTTTTTTTTTTGAAAAGTAAATAACAACGTTCTGACTGCGTAACGCACAAGATTTTTTTTACACATAAAAATGAGTTTGCATTGTATATAACAATTTAAATAAGTAACATTGAATGGTTTCACATTTTCCAGATTTTCCAGATCCACGGGTATTAGGAAAACCTATAAACGATAGATCGCCGTGTTATTGGACTCCACATCTGATTCTCGATTGTTACAGTTTTCACTTATTAATTTATAGTATTATTTACTGTTATTATAGTTTTATAAATAATCTTACCATTTTGTTAACGCAGGTAACTAAATTATAATTAAAAGCAAAAAAGTAATTTAAACATTTTTAAAACAAAAAATTATGCAAAATTAAAATAATTTTTAAAACGATTTTGATAAAAACATGTCATCGCTACCTTCAATATATTTTTGTGCATTGTGTTTTTTTTTTTTTAATTATAAAACCTCTTTTTTTTTAATTATAAAACCTATAAAAAATCGGGTAATTGCATCTAAATAAAAACATTTTTAAAGTATGGTATTCGTACATTTTACAAGTTTTTTTTATTTTATTTGAATTCACCTCCCCAAGGTCATGAAGGCTACTACAGATTAGGAAGTGACTAAGACCTCGGCCCCATTCCCGGCTAAATATGAGACATTTTGCAAACCCGGCCCAGGCAAAATTATAAGATTTAGCAGGGGTTGATAGAAAAAATTTATAATTCATAATTTTTGTATTAAAATTTCATACTTATATTTACTATTTATTAAAAACTTGCATAAGTTTATATATTTTTAAAGTTTAATTTACTTCCAACAAGGTTGCAAGCAATCACTATTAAGTTATGAGTTACTTATGAAATAGAGGACAGGCTAGATATTCTAGCCATCATAGTCTTTTTTAAGAATATGATGGAAATCTTGTCTAGAGAACAAACTGTAGAAGCGGTTAACTGAGAATTAATTTTAGCATTGAATGCCAGAGTGATTTAGATGTTTATCAATGGGTTAATCTGTTTATCTGGCAGAAAGAGCAAGGCCATTATATTCAAGAGTCAAATAAGAGTAAAATTTCTTTTCAAATAACTCTTCCTTGTTCTGGGGAAAAGTGAAAAGACCAGACACATGAAAAAGAGATCATATGTTAGACTTAATTTAGTTAATGACATTGTTGAAGACTTACCTAAAGTCTCTAGAACCTAATTTAGTAAACTGAGAATAACAGAGCTTAACATCAGACAGTACCTTTTTACATTGCCTTTTTAGAATAATAAATAGGAATTTGTTCTTAAGAGAGATGTTCTTGTAAAAAAAATGAAAAAAATGATTACTGTTTAATAAAGCAACTGCTCAAGATGGTGAAAAATGGGGAGTAGAATTAGAATTGACTAAAAATTGAAGAGAAGGAATAAAAGCTTCCAAGATGAGCTTTACGCATATATATTATGGATATAAACATTTATGTTTGCTATTTATTTAAATGCTGGCATAAAATATCCTTTTATATTTATATAGGCTTTAGTATTTGGTGAAAGGGAAGATAATCAAAATGTATGTGTGGTGTGATTCTAACAAGACAAGCAAATGTGGCATAATTTTAGACAGATTACAAAAATAAATCGTACCAAATAACGTTTGTTAGAGAAGATTAAAATGATTTAGGTATCAGCATGTAAAGAGGTAGCAGTTTCAGGAGAAAATAGTAGTGGTTAAAGTAAGAAAACTTGAAGAGAATGTCTTAGATATTGTATCAATGAGCTTTAGTTAAGGAAAAAAAAATGCTTGAGATGTTTACATTAGAGAAACAGCATAAAAGAAGAAGGCTTCTTTTATGCTGTTTCTAAAATACTTTAGGGTATATGAATGTTTACGCAGCCCCCGGTCACAAATCTGGCCCTATCCCCGGCTATATTTTATCAAAACCGGCCCCGGCCCCGGTCAAACATCAACCCCAGTTGCTTATTACAATCGAGGAGGCTAACTGGTTACAACCCTCTCTCAACTTTATAACTCCGAAACACAAACCTTAACGAACAAAGCCGCTGCGCGGAGAAACAAGTTTAGCGCAGTACTACCAGGGACATGGTGGGGATTGAACTCGAAACTTCTTGCTTATGAGGCAAGCGCTCTACTATACACCATTACCGCGCTTTATTAGTATTACGCTCTACCACCACACCGCTATTGCACTTTATTAGTATAGACCAATGTATCCAGCATTACAGCTAAAACATACAAATTTATAGACAAAAAAGGATTTTAAATTTGAGGGTAAAGGGTCTTTTGATAAAAGCATGCTACTTATTTTAAAAGGTGTAAAATAGTTTTGCTTTTATATTATCTTTACAATGTTTTTTTATATATTTATTTAATTGGTGTTGAATTGTCCTTGTCTAATGTAAAGGAGTTTATAGTAATGTTTATCAGATGGTTTCAAAGATGAAACGTTTTTTTTAGGAGAGATAAGGTTGTTTAGTAAATTTAAAAAGTTTTGTCAATTAAGTTCAAGGGAAAGAACTTTTTTGAGAGTTGAAGTATGAAATTTATTATTTACAGAGTTAATCATTATTTCAAGAAAGTTTAATTTGTGATCAAATAGTAAATTTGAGGTTAGGTTGTTGTTTATTTAAATATTCTAGAAAAATGAGTGCATCGTCGTTATTTTCAAAGATACAAAAGATACTATCCATACCTTTTGTATAAAACTACTTTTTTGCAATTATTGTTTTGTAACCAAATGTTTTCGTGTGAATTTTACAGAAGTTCTTTGAGGTTTAAAATACACCTAATGTATTAAACTACTGTTTAATATACACGTAATGTATTAAAATGCAGTTCCGATTTCATATTTTTTTTTTGTTCCAAAATACTATTCCGATTTGGTTTTATTACTAACTTTAATGAGAAAAAAAATCTAATACTTTTAATAAAATAAACTTTCTGAGAAAATAAAAAATTACTTAAAACTTGTATTATGAGCCATAGTGACGGGGGGCTGAGGGGGCCATGTCCCCCTTTCCAGACTTTTTAAATATTTTTTTCTTTTTCTTAGCTAAGTAAGGTTTTTGTAGTACAATATTTATTAACTTATGTTTTTTGATTCTTCGCCGCCCCCTTCCTCCTAAAATGCCACGCCCTTAAAATATCCTACATTTAGGTTATTCATATCTGGACTGTTTGATGGCTGACAAATTAAACAAATATCAAACTCATCCTAAGACGCGTTCACCATAATTACTAAATTATCAATGGCTATATGCGGTTTTGCATTGTCCTGTTGTGTAAAAATAGTTTCAATCCTTTTAATATGATTTCCTGGCCATTTTGAATGTATGACTGGTAAAACATTATTTAAAAGCATGTTGTAATATTCAAATTTATCTACAACAATTGGAGTTGTAACTTTGAAGGATCTTGTTTTACAAATTGCCGAATGCCAATCTTTCCATCAAACCATTCATTTATATGTTGGTAAAATCTTGGTCTTGCAACGGTGGCCAGAAACATAACTTTAATGAAAAAATTCTTTGATTTTACATATCGATGGGGTTCAGATTCATCAATCTCCAAGTAGTACTGTCCTGATACTTTTGTCAAATAGAACCATTTTTCAATTGTGAATTGTGTTGAACGTATTTACAAACTGAATTGTACCATTTGCGAAAAATTAAAAAAGGTTTTATAGCTGACGTTTACACTCTCATATCACCGATCTTAAAGCGACAATAAAGGGTTGTTATTGGAATATTTAAAAATCCTGCCAATGATTGTTTTTACAATTGTTCAAAGATCTTCCTTTCAGTTGATGATTTTTCTTTTTTCGTCCACATATTCCCTTTTTTTTGGAGAACACGTTTGATGGCCCACTTTCTTATCCACAATGCCAAAGGTTACTGATTGTTTTAGTGCAAAGGCTAAATTTTTCAGCAGTATTTTTTATAAAGCCTTTTTTTAGTTTTCCATTAATGCTTTGTGATAACAACTCATCTTAAATCTTTATTAAACTCTAAACTTTGTTAACCCCTACTTTGCATATTAGCAAGTTCACAATTTTTTATTCATTTTTGCGAAAACTTAGTTGCAATTTTTTAAGATAAGATAAATTATGTTAGCTGTTTCTAAATTTAAAATATATTGTGACTGCAGAAGAAAAAATTCAATAAAAACGCCACAAATTAAACACCTGACTTTATTTGTTAGAGAATTAAAAACAATAAAGTCATCTATTGAGCATAAATCAAGTCTCAAAAC